GGTAATAATTTATTTTTATGAAATAATTTTAAATTATTAACCTATATTTATGTATAGGCTTTTTAAATTCAAGTATGATAAACATAAAAATAATTGATTAAAATTAGCAAAAATTAGAAGTTTAAGGTTTGGATAAACAGATTTTAGGGTTCTTTGGAGCAATGCGATGGTTGGGGCGGCATTGCTGCTGCTACTGCCTGGGCGGGAGGCCTTCAGGTACTGCAATCTCCGCCTACATTCCTCCGGATTCAGGGGTGCTCGCAACGCCGTCGAGTCGGCGCAGTTCTCGCGGGTACTTAGGAGCAGCAGGATCAGCCACGCCGTCCTGGGGAGCGGCGAGGGATTCCAAGAGCTGGACGAGATGCTAGAGAAGATCGCCACGATGCCCGATCCATCGCAGGGATATGGCTTCGTTCTCAGGCAGATTGGCGAGCGCAAGGCGCTGGCACAGGGCAAGCGCGTCCATGCTCACATCTTGAGGACCAGGAAGTGGAAGTCGAGCACCGTCGTCTCCAATCTCCTCGTCCAGATGTATTGCCAGTGCGGCAGTGTGGATTTGGCGCGCGAGGTCTTCGCCGGCACGATCCATCGCAACGAGCAGTCGTGGAGCTCGATGATCGCGGGCTACGTCCACCATGGCCGCCACGGGGAAGCGCTCGATCTCTTCCTCAACCTGGAATGCGAGCAGCGCATCCAGCCTAATCGATCCATCTTCGCCAGCGCTCTCGCGGCTTGCACCCACTTGGGCGATCTGGAACATGGTCGAAGGATCCACGAGCGCATTCATCACTCCAAGATCGCTGGAGTTCACGACGTGGTGATCGGGAACGCATTGGTGACGATGTATGCCCGGTGTGGGGATTTGGTGTCGGCCCGTGAGTTTTTCGAGGGGATGCGAGAGAAGAATTCCATGTCGTGGAACGCTATCATCTCGGCTTACGTCCAAGGCGGCCATCCCCGGGAAGCTCTCGAGCTCTTTGCGAGGATGACAGGGAAGTTAAACAGCTTCGTTTTCGCCAGCGCTTTCACTGCTTGCTCGATGGTGGGAGAGATTGATCTCGGTAAGAAACTCTATGCAAGGTTTGTCGAGAGCGGACTAAAGCCGGATTTGATCGTGCAGAACGCTCTGATGAGCATGTATGCCAAGTGTGGAGAGTTGGACGAGGCGAGGAGGATTTTTTTCGAGCTTCCAACGCGTGATGTCGGTGCATGGGCGTGTCTCATGGCCGGATATGCTCAGCACGGAGATGTCGCTCGGGCTCTCGAGCTCTACAACAGGATGAGAGACGAGAAGGTGGAGGCTAACGCGGCCATTTTCTCCACGCTCATCGCGGCTTGTTCCACTCTGAAAGAAGGTGAGCTTGTGAGAGACCTTGCCTTTGCTTGTGGATTTGAGGCTGATCCAATCGTGCAGGCTTCTCTGGTCGGAATGTATGGGAAGCACGGCAAGATTGAGGAAGCGAGACGGATTTTTGATAACATTCATGGCGAAAACAAAGACGTGGCTGCCTGGTCGAGCATCATTTCGGCTTACGCTCGGCACGGGTTGACGGACGAGGCTTTGAGGCTGTTTTGGAGGATGGTTTCTCGAGGGGTGGAGCCGAATGCCATGATTTTCAAGAGCGTTATATGCTGCTGCGCGAGCGGTGAGGCTCTGGAGCAAGGCAAGGCCGTCCATGCACGGCTGAAGGAGAGCCCGAGCAGGGAAGACTCGGCAGTCCAGAACGCGCTCGTTGGGATGTATTGCAAGTGTGGGAGTCTGGACGATGCAAGAGCCGCCTTCGACGTGACCAAACGCAGAGATCGGCACACCTGGACGACCTTGATCATGGCTTACGTCCAGAAGAGGAAGCCGGAGAAAGCGCTGGAGCTTTATCACGGCATGGACGTGGAACCCGACGAGTTTATTCTTGCCAGTGTTGCAGCAGCTTGCTCCAGCTTAGGTTCTCTCGAGCAAGGCATGGCTGTCCACTCTCGAGCAAAGTCACTCGAGCTTCTCGGGTGTGAGGTCCTGGGAACTGCACTGCTTGACATGTATGTCAAGTGTAAGAGACTGGACGAGGCCAGGAAACTCTTCTGGGAGCTCCAGGCTACGAACGTCCCCTAATGGTGGGAGGATACGCCCAACCTGGGACTCGTCTTAAGCTCGAGAGACGTGGGGAGGATCAAAACGTCTCCGGGCTTGCAGCAGCTCATCACCGCTGCTTGAATTCCACACGTAGAGCCGTTCACCAAGGACCACGAGTACCCTGCTCCGAAAAGCTCGGCGGCCATTTGCTGCGTCGGCTATGGCTTCTTGTGGCAGTGCAAGTTATCTAGGCCTGGGAGCTCCGGGAGATGAAACTGGAAGACTTGAGCTCCGAGAAGCTGGGAAATCGAAGAGGGCGTTGAGGAGCCGCGGCCGTGGCCTGGGAAGTGAAACGCAGCGGCACGCTCCCCGCCAGTTCTCTTGAGAGCTTCAAGCAAAGGAGCTGAGGAAGAAGGGACCGTCGTCGGCATTGGCCCTCCTGACAGGGAAAGAAGCACGGATACACGATACTGTTTCAGGAATGCGAGATCCAGAAGCTGGGTAGAATGCACAATACAGCACCCCCTTTATTTAAGGTGCTTATTTGGATTTATATTATTTTCAATTATTTTTAAGTATTTAAAAGTTACTATAAATTGAAGATTGTTCTAGTATTGTGAGTGCATTGAATATGGAAAGGGAATACAGAAATGTGCATATCAATTAACCCAAAAACCCTAGCTTATATATAGGAGCGAGTGGTCCGGATTGAAACCAATCCGACGGCTACCAAAATCCACTACGCTAATATAGTATACGGCATTGTAACCGTACACTTGGCCCTCACATCATCCCCTCCTCTCGGAATAATGGAAGGCCGTCAGGGTTCTCTTGTAGATGGGCCGGGATCTAGAGGAACGTCAGGAGGAGGCATCGGTGGATCTGTAGACGGTATTAACTGCTCCTGATCCCTTTGTATGAAGCGTTTTAACCGCTGCACATGCACAATTTCCGGAGGATCGGCCTGCTGAACGTCATGCCAAACCTCATAAACTTGTGGTCCAACTTGCCGCAACACCCGATACGGTCCTTTCCACTGCGCAAGGAGCCCCTTAGATAAACTACGTACCGTAAGATGGGGAAAACAGACTAACACTAAATCATCCACTTTGTACTCCGCTGGTGGACGATGATGGGAATTGTAGCGCCGTTGTTGTCCCACTTGTACGCGGCCTAAGTGTTCAGCAAACTCTGCTCGGACAAGTGGAAGAATGCTTGTCAAATATTGATCCCATGACCTAGCATCAGGAGCTCGTGGCAATTGTGAAGGTAACCCCAGCTCTGTTGGTAATATTGGATCATGACCATATAGAAGTTTATATGGTGAAGCACTAACAGAACTCTGCACCCCTGTGACATAAGCATACCGAAGAGACGGCAAATAACCATCCCAATCCGAATGTTGAAAGTTCACATACTTCGCAATCATCCCTTTGAATGTCCGAACGAGCCGTTCCACCAGACCGTCTGATTGTGGATGATAAGCACTCGTAAAAGTGTGGCGTATCCCCAACCGAGATGTCAAAACATGAAATACCTCAGCCATAAATGCAGGACCATTATCCGAAAGAATCCGTTCTGGACAAGAATGCTGGAACACCACTCGATTGAGGAGGAAGTATCCAACAGCAGTTGCAGAGGCACTAGCAAGAGCACCAACTTCCACCCAACGAGTCAAGTAGTCAGAAGCAATAATAACATACTCATTGCCAGCAGTCGATCGCGAAAAAGGTCCCATAAGATCAAACGCCACCAACTCAAACGGACGAGAAACTGCAATTGACTCCAACCGTCCTTCCGCAGCACAAGGGGGAGTATTACGAGCTTGGCACCAAACGCAGCTACGCACATACCAGATAATATCACGTCGCATCTCTGGCCAATAGAAAGATCTGCGCAGCTTCTCGGTGACACGACGGTGTCCCATATGCCCACCTAGAATAGTGTAAGGAACCGACTCCCCGAGATGTCGTAGGCTAAAGGATCCCCAAAAGCTTGACCGAAATGACAAAGAGTTCATCGGATAGGACCAAGTCGAGGATCGAGTCCAAGACCGACTCTAGGACTGAGTTCGAGATAGAGTCCGGAATCGAGTCCGAGACCGACTCGGGGACCGAGTTCGAGTCCGAGTTCAAGACCGAGTTCGAGACGGAGTCCGAGATCCGAAATCGGGTCCGAGACCGAGTCCGAGGTCGAGTCCGAGGTCGGGTCCGAGATCGGGTCCGAGATTGAGTCCGAGGTCGGGTCCGAGATCGGGTCCGAGATCGAGTCCGAAATCGAGTCCGAGACCGAATCCGAAGTCGGGTCCGAAATCGGGTCCGAGATCGAGCCAGAGACTAAGTCCAAATACTAATACGGGTCAAGGGGTGAAAGCCCAAAGCGTGCGTCTCCCAGGGGGGGGGCTGCAGGGGGTTCCAAAAGTATAGTAGGGATAGTGAGGTCCAGGAACCAGTTTTGAAGGGACTCTCCAGTTGGGCTTCCAAACCGACTTGAGGTTGAGACTGGGACCGAGGGGCCTTGGGTGGGAGTGAGCATGGACTTGGCTGGTGCCGGAGGGGCCATCCAAGGAAGTGCTCAAGAGCAGCTCCCACTCCTGAAAGGGAAACCGACTGCGGTGCTCCCGGCTCAAGTGGAGTGGTGCCCCACTTGAGTACCTTGTGGCTCATTGGTCCTCACCCTTCCGGGGGCTTGGGCCTTCCCTTCGGGATGGAAGAGGGGGGGTAGAGGTACCCATACCGGGCCGTTAGGCCACGGTGTTTCGCCTTGACGTCCCGAAGCAAGTGCTGCACCCAAGGCTTGGGATTTAGAGGGTCCCATGATCAAGTCTTGTGGTACCAAGGGGTGTTAGGAATCTGGAGGCTTAGTGTGCTTGGCTGCTTGTGCCTGCCGGGAGTGTAGCCGAACCTTAAGTCCAGTCTAACCCGGGGAGGGGGATTGGGAGAGATTTGGGAATCCGTAGATGAATGGCTAACACTCCGTTGCTCGTGCAGTAAGTAGCTGAAACCAAGTAGGACCAAGTAGGAGCTGGTACCATAGGCGAGAACCTTGGCGAGGGAACTTAGCACAAGCCAAGGCAGAGTTGGTCGGATAGGCGAGGTAAGCTGGCAAATTGAAAAGGAAAAATTTGTGGCTTACAAATAGGAGAATCATGGTAGGCATGGAGAAACCGCGGAATAAACACCGAAGGCACCACCAGCCGTAAATGAGCATCAGGATCCGTCCCCACAAAATAAAGAAGGCCATCTTCAAGGCGATATTGAGAATGTAAATGCCGAAAAGGCAAGTCATCAGCAAGTGATGCAGGATTCTCAAACCCATCTCGAAGCCTTCGAATCCACGGCTCAATCTTTTGAGCCTCGCGAACCTCATCCAGAGAAGGTAGATCTTGCTCTACGCCCTGTGGACACTGAACGTCAAGGACAGCAACCGCCGACGGCACAGAATCCTCATCTAGAAAATCCACAGATGCTGGAACAACAGGTTCATCAGAAACATGAGAAGTGAGTGGAGAAGGAAGAGGAGCTCGAGAAAGGGCATCAGCATCAGCCATAAAACTCCCTGGGCGATGAACAACATCGAAATCATATATCTGAAGCTTTAAAGCCCATCGAGCCGTACGACCAACTAGGTTCTTCCGCTTCAATAATGAAGTAACAGCAGCATGGTCACCTTCAAGTAACATCCGAGAACCATGTAGATAGGCATGAAGTTTCTCGAAACCCCAGACTGCTGCTAAACACTCCTTCTCCGTCGTGGAGTAGTTCATCTCCGCTGGTTGTAATGTACGGCTTATGTATGCAATGGGATGGCGCTGACCAGGCACACTCGAGCTCTCTTGCATCAACACACCTCCAAGACCAATGTCAGAAGCATCCACGCGCAAAATAAAAGGTCGAGTGTAGTCAGGATATGCCAAAACCGGAGGAGTCGTCAATAGCTCTTTGAGATTCACGAACGCCCGATCACAATCGGGAGACCAGATGAAAGATGACGTTGATGACTTCAGCAACGCTCACAATGGTATAGTGCGATCGGAAAGATGATCCACAAAACAACCGAGATACTGCACCTTACCCAAAAAGCACTGCACATCATTCACACACTTCGGAGTAGGGAACTTTAGAACAGCCACAAGTTTGTCAGGATCAACTTGCAAACCCTCACGAGAAATACGGTACCCAAGATAAGTTGTGTCCTTGGACCCAAACACGAACTTCGACCGCTTCAGCTTTAAACCAACATCGCATAGCCGATCCGACACTTTACAAACATCACAAACATGCTCCTCCCACATCCCCTCCGAGTGGATCAAGACATCATCAATGAAGTCAGCCGTCACCTCCGGCATATCGCAAAGAACTTCGTCCATCATCCGCTGAAAAGTTGCTGGAGCATTGTTCAAACCAAACGGCATCACCAAAAACTCGTACAAACCAAATGGTGTACGAAAATCAGTCTTAGGAATATCGTCTTCAGCCATCGGTACTTGCCAATACCCAGAAGCAAGATCTAGCTTGGTGAACCAACGACTTCGCCCCAGACGATCCAAGAGATCAGCAGTGTGAGGAAGAGGGTACACATCCGGGATTGTCACTTCATTTAACGGACGATAGTCGATGCAGAAACGAATACTTCCATCAGGCTTCGTCACAAGATGAGGTTCACATGCCCAAAGACTCCGTGACTTCCGAATAACACCCTTCTCCAACATCTCCTTGACGTTTGTACGTAAAATCTTGATCTCCTTGGGTGACCGACGACAAACAGGAACCTTGATTGGACGAGCATCCCCGGTTGGAATGGGATGACGTGTGGCAATCTTGGCCCCAGACGATAGGTCAAATTCAAAGAGATCAGAATACTCCTTCATGAGCTGGTCAACAGTTGCAACACAAAGATCATCGGAGGGATCGGAAAAGGGAAGAGCAGAACAAGATGGAAACACAAGAGGAAATAATGGGAGAACAAAAGTAATGGAAGCAGAGGTAGAAGTAGAGGGACGAAGAGGTACGGAAGTGAGAGGAATGGATGAAACATAAGGAAGTATGAGACAAGGGGGAAAAGCCTCAAAGTCACACTTGGCATGATTGTGCTGCAACCAATTCATACCAAGAATGAGGTCAAAAGCTTGACTCGGCACCACCCGCAACGACTGCAACTCAAGCTCGAGATCGCCCACACGCACAACCAGGTCCGCCTCATCTCGTGCACATGCATGTGTACGGCCGTTGCCATAAAGAATGAAAACTGGATCCACCGCACGACGCAAGTGTAGACGACAATGTGTGGCAACAGGTCGAGCAATAGAAGATAAACTCGAACCTGTATCAACCAACACGGAGAGAAGAATAGGAGACCTCTTGTTATAAAAACGAGCTTGGAAAGTAAACACTGGATGAACCGGTGCCGAGTGAACCCCTTGATGATACTCCCAAAAGAAAGATGGAGGGGTCACTAACTTATTCGCGCAAGGTCCCTCCATTACTCGCGCGACTCCTCGTTTCCCGAATGCACCTCGGTATCCAAACCTTCCACCGCAGCAACACCAACGGGACATTGCTGACGCCAAGGTCTCCACCCAGGAAATGGAGGTCGCCAATCCGGAAAGCGCCGACAACGCCGATAAGTATGACCAACTTCATCACACGCCCAGCAACGAACGTCACGGCCACGACCACGTCCTCGCCCTTGTCCTTGGACTCGAGTAGCAGCAGCATCAACCTCCATGGGAACAAGACCATCACTCATAGGAAGTGGAGCTGAAGGACGTGTAGCAAGAAGTGGAAGAGGCAATGTCTCATAACGTTGTGCCAAGCGAAGAGCATCGTCAAGAGTGGCAGGAGCAAGTGCATGCACAAGTCCGACAAGATCTTGACGAAGTGCTGGCCACAGCATTCCTAGCTTGATCCGCTCCGACATATTTGGCTCCGCACGAAGCAAAAGACTTCGGAAACGAACGCCAAATTGCATCACCGACTCAGATGGCCCTTGGCGAAGACGATGCAATTGTTGGAAGGCATCATCACAATCGTCGGCATGTCCGAAGGCGCGTTTGAAGACGTCCGGAAGAACACTCCAATCGCCACGAGTAACTGCGCTCAATCCATTGTACCACTGCAACGCCGTCCCTTGAAGACATGTGGGGAACTCACGCAAACGTCGAGCATCATCCCAAAAATGATATGTGGCAATCACTGTGAAGTGATCGAACCAATGGTACACATCATCCCCAGGATTCCCACGAAAGAACTCCGGCCGAACGCGAGGATTGGCACCAAAAGCAGGAGGAGTTGTACCATGTGCCGTGAACGCCGCCATCAACTGAGTTTGGTTGTTCAATTCCAAGCGCATAGCATCAAGCAATTGAACCAACTGCTGCTCTAGAGTCAAAGGAGGAGATTGCGGATCGGCCATGAAAATGAATGAGAAAGAAAGAGCAAAAGAAGAGAAATGACAAAAAGCTGGAAAGAAATGGTAGATCTAGACAATGCAAAAGCTAGATCTAAACCGAAATCCCAAATCCAAGCACTCCCCAGGGACAATCAAAGGTGCCCCTCATCTCCACCAATGTGAGTGCATGGAATATGGAAAGGGAATATAGAAATGTGCATATCAATTAGCCCAAAAACCCTAGCTTATATATAGGAGCGAGTGGTCCGGATTGAAACCAATCCGACGGCTACCAAAACCCACTACACTAATATTAGTATACGGCATCGTAACCGTACACTTGGCCCTCACAGTATATTATTTTCAATTATTTTTAAGTATTTAAAAGTCCAAAATCAAATATACTATTTATTCTACTATAACGGCATTGTCTTGATTGTACAGCTTAATATGACTGTATAGAATTTAAATGCAACTTCCTTTCTTTCAATATATATTTTTTGTTAAATATATTCTTGAAAGTAAAAGTTGTATAATCCTCTTGTTGTACCATAGTGAGGAAGGGATCTTCTTCACTGCATTCCATATTGATTCAATACGATTTGTATAAACTTTAGTCACGGGATCAACAAAATTCTTGGAGTGGTTGACTGTATAATGAGTGAAGTTTAATTAATTCAACCACTCTGAATCATAACCAGCCCAAAAATCACTATATATAATTGTTCCTAAAAAATTAATTATAATTATTAGTTAAGAAAAATAATAAAAATAGAACTTACCTGGTACAACATATGTATATAATATATCAATTAAAGTTTGTGTAGTACGATTGGACACTGAAACCATAAACATTCAATCTGAATCATGTTCAATTCCTCTAAAGACCCATTGACCTTCTAAAGCAGTCCACTGCTCCACCCCCTTGCAAGAGACCCTACCACAATAATATTTCCACTTACCAAACTTACTTTCATCAATTTCCACAATTCTTCCTAGACCATCAATCTTTTGACTACTTTATTGTAATGTGATAATACAAATATCATGACAAAAGTTGTACCAATTTGTTGTCATGTGCTCACTTTTAATACTACACTTGATACAAGCTTGATTTTGTGGCATTTTAATGCACTACTAATACATCACTTTAAGCATTTGAGCAAATGTGAGATTATTATTTGTAAACCATGTATTAGTTCTAAGAGATCTTGTGGTATTGCAATTTTTACAATTCCACTTTAAATCATCTTTACAACCTCAATTATCAAATTGATATCTCATTGGTTGATGGTATTTTTCACATTCTCTCTCTTGTAAAAGACGACCAAATGTAATACAAAAAGTAAAAGAATTTACTTTACTATTAGTTCTCTCAATAAGATTAGAAAAAGAAAGAATATTATCTTGAGTATGATCTACATATTCCAATCTAGCCAAAATACTATTAAATAAAATTAAATCAGTCGTAGGTTATATACTTATAAATTATAGTCGTTCATTCACTGGCTAATCATAAAATTATAGTCGTTAACATATCCATTAACAACATCTATTAATTAAATTTTAACGTTACTAATTTAGTGTTAGTCATTAAACATTTAGAGCTAGGCATGACTAAGCACACGACGGAGGAAGCGAGGAGTGAGCATGGCAAAGGGGCAACCACATAAGAGAAGGGGGTTGCTATATTATGCATTTCTCCCCAGAAGCTTTCATCTAATAACACAAAAGACTCTAACCAATTCTTCTCTTCCACAAAAGTGTGGAGCAAATTCCTCTAGAATAAGATGCTTTTTGATTATGATTGAGGGAACAATGCCAAAATCAATTTAGAGTGAGTAGTGTTACAACATAAATAGTCAAAGTGTTTACATGAGTTTATATGAGTTTCTAGCTATTTAGCTTCTCTAATATGTTCAACACTTGCAATTTTCTTAAGCAAATTACTTATCATCTTCAATTCATAATACTTATGCCCTTTCTTATTTTTGAATGCATGAATAACAATTCCATTCTTGAGTTGCAAGCAAAAGGACTCTGGCTTGTCGTCCACAATCACCATATGTTTGAAGTCCTACCCTAATCTTGAGAGATCCTCCACAACCTTTTTCCTTTGACTTCCTTGGTCGAGTACGAATCTCTATAGAGATGATGGGCAAAGAGATTCCTAGCTAAGTTAAGCTTGTCCAAAATCTTGTCTATATATAGCTTCATTGTTCAATTAAAAACCACGATCTTATATATTTTACTCATCTCTTTTAGAAAGTCATTCATACCTAGCCTCTTTGCCACAAGATAGCACTGCAGTGAAATAATTTTCACACTAAAGAGCTTGAGGGACACTATAGCCTTGTAGGCATGGATTAATGTTTCATCCATGTTCAACACAAACATGGGTTTCTTCTCCAAAGCTGGTAGCAGTAGTAAAGAATGGTTTGACCACTTCACTTTTTTCTTCTTCTTTTTGGTGGTGATGTCAAGTGTCACAAAACTCCACTCCTTATACTCTCATGGTCCTAACTTAATCATAACAAACCTTTATATTTCAAGTTAATACACTTCCATAATTCTGGCTGAGCAACACATAGAAATTCGACTGTAATACCAACCCTAGTGTTGAGAGTCTCTGGGCAGCTCGAACTCCACGCTCAGGATCCTTGTGGATCTTCTGGCAAGCAGCCAACAACGAGACCCAAGCAACACTCTCAGGCTCAAAGGGCATACTGTGAATGAGCTCTTCAGCCTTGTCTAGCTCTCCGGCCCTTGCAAATGCGTCAACAAGCTCACAGTAGTGTTCTCTCGTGGGCTCGACGCCATAGTCCCAAATCATTGACTGGAAGTAGTTTTGAGAGATCTTCACCACGCCCGAGTGGCAGCACGCCGCAAGCACACTTGTAAAGACAATGTGATCAGGCATCATGCTCTCCTGGATGATCCTATGGAAGGCTTCCAAGGCCTCGGTTACATGCCCGGTGGAAGCATACATGGCCACCACTGCTGTCCATGAGACCAAGTCTTGCTCTGGCATTCTCTCGAACCAAACTTGAGCTTCCAAGAGGAGTCCCTTGCGAGCAAAGCCAACCACCATTGCCATCCAGGCAATTGCATCACGCTCCTCAATCGCCTGGAAGAGGCTTATCCCTTCTTGGAGGTGGCCATTCCAGAGATAGGCCGAGAGGAGCGCTGTGCTCGCCATCTTGCTATTATAAGGTATTTGATCGAAAATAAACTTTGCATTTTCAAGATGGTTTCTAGAGGCGAGCATATGGATCATTGTTGTCCAAGAGATCTCGTCACAGTAAGCCATCTTTTGGAAACAATCTAGTGCTTCATCCAAATGCCCATTCGCGGCATATGCGCAAAGCATGGAGTTCCAAGCCACCACGTCTTTGTTTGGCAGCCTCTCAAACAAGGCTTTGGCCTCTTCCACGCATCCATTAGATGCGTAGCCGTCCATCATAGCCGTAAATGCCACCTCATTAAGATCCGGAGCATCTTCAAAGAGAATCTTTGCTTGCTCCATATGCCCTGCCTGGGCATATGCTGTGATCATGGTCGTCCATGTTACTACATTCCTTGTGGGCATTCTATCAAAGAGATCCTTAGCTTCATCCAGCCGTTGGTTCTCGCAGTGGCTTTGGATCATGGCCGTCCACGCCACCACGTCCTTTTGGGGCAGGGAATCGAACACCTCAAGCGCGAGTGAGAGATGCCCGTTATGGGCATATGCCACGATCATGGCGGTGCTAGAAACGAGGGTTTGCTCCGGCATGGAGTGGAATACCGCCTCCGCCGCGCCGAGATTGCCAGTCTGCGAGTACATCTCGATCATCACGTTCCAGGTGATGGAATTCTTGGCAGGGATGCGATCGAAGAGCTGCTTGGCGCGCTGCACGTCTCCGGCCGCGGCGTATGCCGAGATCATGGCGTTGCTGGACACAATCTCCTGCTGCGGCATGCTTTCCAGGACCGATCGCGCCTGCTCCAGGTCGTGGTTGCGAATGTAGGCCTGGAGGATGAGATTCCAAGAGAAGAGATTGCGATCCGAGGTGGAATCGAAGACCGATCGCGCTTCCTCCAGGCAGCCGCAGCGGCCATACATCTGGACGAGGAGATTTCGCAGGAAAACGCTGTTCCTGTGGTCGCTGTGAAGGATCTGGGCGTGGATCTGGCGGCCATCGCTGGGATTGTCGCAAGATCTGACGAGGGCGGCAAGCTCTTGGACGCCAAGAACGCGCATCACATCATGGCCGCTGGATGATGGGGACGTCCGAGGTTCAAATCCTGGCAGGTTCTAGCTTCCAGACGAAGTTTTTATGGTACGCGGCGAAAACTCTTCCCCCGTCGCGCAGCCTCACTCCAAATGCCGGAGGCAATCGCAATCGGGAACAACACAATTAATTTCCATTTTTTCTTGCGGCTTTGGATGGATTTCTCTTGCTGCAAGTGCCCAGACCCAACTGCAAGCAGTGTAAAATCAAATGCTCTATTCATCCCCTTTTTGGATCAGATTGCAAGAAGGCACACTACTCCTCTTTAGAAAAATCCAGATGTCAAAGTTATCAGCTTTGATGTTTTTGGGTTCTTGTTGTTGTGTTGATAATGGGGAGCTGTTCTGATGGTATATTGTTAATAGTTTTTGCAAGCTTGTGGAGAGAGCATTAGAAATATAACTTGTGGTTGGCACTTTGTCATTGTATATAGTCCTGTGTAATTGATGAGGCAACTTTTATATTAAATTTCAAACCCAAAGTTCTTAGGATTATATCAATACAAAATTCAAAATAGATCCATTATATTCAAGTAAATTGAATTGGTGTTGAGTGAACCCCTTAATAATATTCTAAAAAAAAATTAAAGGGTCATTAATTTATTTGTGTAAAAATTTTTTGCTACTCATGCAACTTTTCATTTTTAAAAAGCATCTCAATTTTCAAACAACAGCACCAACAAAACATTATTAACACCAAAACCTCCACCCAGGAAATGAAAATCGTCAATCTAAAAAATGTTAATAACACCAATAAATGTGATAAATTTCATTACACACTCAATAAGAGCTAAATTACATCTTTGCCCTTGTCTTTAAACTCAATTAACAATAGCATCAACTTCTATTAGAACATAACCATCTCCCACATAAAGTGGAGTTAAAGGATGTTTAATAAAAAGTGGAAAAAATAATATTTTATAATATTGTGTTAATTGAAAAGTATCATTAAAAGTGGCTAGAGTAAATGTATGCACAAATTTTGTAAGATTCTAACAAAATGCTAGTAATAACATTTTTAACTTGATCTTCTTTGACATATTTGGCTCCACAGGCTTTAGAAATGAATGCCAAATTACATCCCTCACTCAATTGCCTCTTGATGAAAATTATATAATTATTAAAAGGCATTATCACAATTGTTAACATGCCCAAATGTGCAATTTAAAACATTCAGAAGAATACTCTAATTTACATGAATGACTACATTCAAACCATTATACCATTATAATGTTATCCATTGAAACTCATTCAAATGCGAAACATTATCCCAAAAATGATATGGTAATCACCATAAAGTAATCAAACTAATGATATATAACATCCTTAAGATTCTTATAGAAGAACTTTACCTAAACATGAAAATTAGCAGCAAAAGCAAGAAGAATTGTACCATGCACCGTGAATGTTGCCATCAATTGAATTTAATTTTTCAATTGCAATTATATAGCATTAAACAATTATACCAACTATTGCTTCAAAGTCAAAAGAGAAGGAGGCTATTACTCTATCATGAAAATGAACCAAAAAGAAAAAGTAAAAGAAAAGAAATTGAAAAAGCTATAAGAGAAAGACAATATAAAAGTTAGATTTAAACCAAAATCCCAAATCCAAGCACTTTTCAGAAACAATCAAAGCTACTCCTCACCTCCATTAATGTGAGTGTATGAAATATAAAAATGCAATATAAACATATATATATCAATTAATCCAAAAACCTTAGCTTATATACAAAAATGAGTGGTCCAAGTTGAAATCAATCTAATGGATATTAAAATTCAATTACACTAATATTAATATATGGCATCATAGCCATAAACTTGAACCTCATAAATAGACCTTTTTTTAAAATATATAGTGTTCTTAAAAGAATGAAATATATTTATTGATTATATGCAATTCAAAAAGAAGGAATTTACAATTTCATTTATGATGGTGGTAGGGTATTTGGCATAATTGTAAAATGGTATTGCTTTGTTATATAAAATATATAAAAAATACATCTTAATACTTCTAAATTTAAAATTATATGAATTATCAGACATTAAAGTATTACACAAAGTCAATTTCTTCAAATCGAAGTTAATATTAATTAGTGTTTAAAATACAATGCTAAGCAATTTTTCCTAAAGAAAATAAAAATTTAAAAATTAATCCATGCTAAATACTATATGAATTTAATATGTGAACAAATGATAAAATCATATTATAATTCCAATAAATTGCTACATGTTACATGCAGGAACACTTGGTTTGCTTAATAGTAGTGTTATTCTTACTTATTAATCCAATTGATCAAATAAAGTTTATAATTATAAGTATGTTTATAAATTATAAAATACAAGATTAATCTAAATAAATAACAGCCATTAGATGGAAGAATATCCTAGAATATCCGAGCATATTCTAGGTATATCCACTACCATCTCAGTCCCCTACAGGTTTGTTTAAGCAAACCAAAAAATTAGTCATAAATAATAGAATAACTATATAAATATCATTACAAATAATAAATCTACTTCTAAAATTTGCAAATAAATTAAATTATTATTCAAAAAATTATCTCAATGTGCATTTTTGTGTTGCAATTAAGATATATAAGGTGGTTAATCTCATAAGGGGAACCTAGCCCTGACCAAAATTTTGAAAACATATTATACCAAACTTAATAATTAAATGACATAGTGTACATTATCCTCATTTAGATATTTTTATTTAAAATTTAAGAATAAATACTTTTTCAAATTAAAACTATTACCTCCCATTTTTCTTAATAATCTTACCCCATTTACTTTAACTATAAATTTTAATTGTAAAATAACATAGAAAATTAAATATAAAATTTAGATTAACTTTAGAGTTAGTTTCTTTATGACTTAATTATGTTGATTTAAACTTAATTCCACCTAACTGAATCATCATTACACTTAGAAATGTTAATCTCTGTCTGCATTTGAAATATTATAAAATTGACTATATAAAGTTTTTTGTATCTTAAATTATTATATTATTTATTATATAATGCTGTAAGTATAAAATAAGAAATTATAATGATAATTTTGGTGCGATTTAATTAAAAGATCTTGAAACAATATTTTTATTTATGGAATGTAAATGATCGTGGAGTAAGTCCAAAATGGCCACTCTTCCTCCACCTGGTGTGCCAGCCGTTTGCTCCCACCTGGGGGATCTGGAGCCCCGGGAAGTCTCCAGCGATGATGACAGAGAAGGTAAATCGCCAGTGCTTGCTCCCACTTGAAGCTGGATTTGATCGTGGATGGGCATGTATGAACTGCGGAGGATGTTACTCGGGCTTCCGAAGCGTCGGCCGGTGTCGCCCGGGCTCTTGAGCTCTACGACAAGATGAGAGGCGAGAATGCAGACATTTTCTCGACGCTCTGAAAGAAGGATCGAGGAAGCAAGACTAGACCTGTTTCGCGTCGATCAAGACACTTGCTATACATGCTGATGAGCGCATTGCCCAGCACGGACTTCTCCTCGATATTATCCTCGAGCGGCCTTTGACAAGCTTTGCCTCAGAGAAACCGTCGCGTGGAACGTGATCCTCACGGCTTACGCACAGCGGCCAAGTTTTGGAGCTCTACATCGACATGGTCCAGTTGGAAGCCAGCTCTTCCATCGCCATCCTCTCCTACGGCCACGCCGGGAAAGAAAGCTCTACTTTGGACTCATGACTTTGGAGCACGGGACTCCTTTCGGCCCGGAGCACTTCCAGTGCGTAACCGATCTCCTCGCTAGAGTTGAACACTGCCGACGCCGAGGACTTGCTGGTCAACGAAAGCGGTGGCCTGGTTGACGCTGCTCGCGGGCTCTAGAGATCATGGGGACGCCGATCGACGGCAACGTGTGCAGCACTACACGTTTTCGAGCTGGATCCACTTTGACGCTATGCAAGGAGGAGAAGAGGTCAGTTTGTGTTTATTTTGTTATATGCTGTTTGTTAGCTTTGAGAAATATCAGCGTTCTTTACAGTTGATGGCTTGCCAGCCGAGGAAGACGAAATAGTTACTCCCTTTCGAGCTTTGGTGGCTTGCGCTGGTGGTGGCGGTGGCGGTGGCGGCGGCGGCGAATTGTTGGAGGTCTTGGACATGTTGCTGGCGAGATGGATTGGCATCAAGCAGAGGCCTTTGTTTTGGAGGTACTGCATCGCGGAGCCCATGTCTTCCTCCATGAGTTTCGCGACTTGTCTCTCGGTGAGAGCGATTCCGTCCTGCGCGCCGTTTTGTCCCAGAGCTGCGAGGAATTGGTTTGAGTCCTGCTCGAAAGATAAAACAACAGGCAAGTGACTCCATTTCCTATTGTATGATCGTTCTGATTATATTCTTTTCTCTGTTACCTCGGGTGGAAGATCGGTC